ACGTGTCTGGTCTCATAGGCTTGCCACTGGAGAGGAATTCTGCTTCAGGATGAATCATACCTCCAGCCTCACCCATACCTGATTTAGATGACATTCAGGGAGACTTTGGACTTGATGACGGATGGGTCGACTTTGGGGCTGTTGGAATGGGGTGAATGTATTTTGCCTGTGAGAATGATGTGAATTTGGGGGGCTAGATGGCAGAATGTTATGGACTGAATTGTGTCCCCCTAAATGTTGAAGACTTAACCGACCATGGGACTGTTTTTGAGAAGGGGCCTTGAAGGATATAATTAAGGTTAAACGGGGTCACAAGGGTGGGTCTTCTCTAACAGTATTAGTGTCTTTATAAGAAAAGGCAACAGGGTGCACACAGACAAGGCCACGTGAGGCCCCAGCAAGAAGGTTCGTCTGCAAGCCGAGGAGATCGGTCTCACCGGAAACCATATCTGCCGGCACCTTGACTTGGGCCTTCCAGCCTCTAGAACACGACAAAATACATTTCTGTTGGCTAAGCCACCCAGTCTGCGGTCTTTCGCTATGGTAGCCTGAGCAGATGAATACAATTCCTCACAACATTGGTGAGCAAGGAGCACACCAATCCAAGGCACACTTGGATTTCAAGTTCAGCTTTCACGGCTTGACTCACTGGGCCAATATTGAAGTTCTACTATGGGTCAGGCACGGTGCAGGCACCGGTTTCAATGGTGAGCAAAATGGTGACAGTTCCTGTCCTCATGGAACTTAAAGTCATGGAAGGGAGACCCATGTTCACCAAATAACGACTCAAATGGACAGAAAATAATAAAGGTGTTGAGGGCTATAGGGGGAGGTCATCTCTTCAGGGAGGTCAGGGATAAGTTTTCGAAGAAGTGACACCAGACCTGAGATATGAAGGGTGATCAGGAGTAAACTAGGTGAAGTGGGGAAGGAAGAGTTGAACGCAGAAGGAACAGCATGTGCAAAGGCAGTTCCCACCAAGGAGGGAGTTGGCGTTCCGGGAACTCGGAGAAGTCTGCACTGACTGGAATGGAGAGGAGATGGGCAGGGGGATGGCGTTCAAGATGAGGCTGGATCTCTCAAGCTGGCTGGACCATGGCAAGGCTTTGTCATAAGAGCAGTAGGCAGCCACCGAGCTCTCCTAACCTGGGATTTGGCATGGTCAGATTTGCATTTCCAGAAGATGCTGGTGGCTGCCGCGTGGAGGATGAGCTGCATGGAGACCACTGAGGGGGTTAACGCAGGAGTCCAGGAGAGGCATGCAGAGGGCTTGGACTAGACTGGTGGCTATAGACACGGAGGGAAGGGCTGGATTGGGCAGCTATTAGAGGGGGTAAAATAACCGGGCTTTGGGAGATGTGGGTGAGGGAAGAGTCAGCCAGGACCTGAGTTCTCAGAGTTGAGCTCCTCGGTGGGTAGTGGTGCTAGCCATGAGGGAGAGAAGATGAGGAGGACCAAGTCAGCAGTGGGGGCAACCACCTAACTAATCAGGTGAACTTGGGGAGGTTACTTTGGAACCTCTGCATGCCTCAGTTTCCTTACTTCAGTACCAAACGTGAGGTGACGTATGTAGAACCCAGCTCAGAGCAGCTGCTCCTGCGGATCGGGCCTTCCCGCCTTTCCCTCTGTGAGGCGGCATGGCCAGATGCTATTGTTCCCATTCTAAGGATGAGGAAGCTGAATCTCTGTAAGGCTGGAGTCTCGCCCAAAGTCACACACCGTTGGAACCAGGCTCACAGAGAGGTCGTGGGAAGAGTCTTCCCTCTGCCAGGCTGCCTTTTAACAGCAGGGCGCAGATCCCCAGAGCAGAAGGCGTTCACTCCTCAGCCGCTCAGTCATCCCTGGAGGCCTGGGAGGGGGAGGGAAGAGAGGACAAAGTTCAGGTGGGAAATGCAGTGGGGGGGAGGCGACAAGGGAGCGCTGGCGTGAGGGCAGGCCCCCAGTCCCTAGAGAGACAGGCAGTTAAACACTAAATTCATACAGGAGCCAACTTCCAACACGCGGGATGTTCACAAGGTTTAGTTTTTACTCACATAAAGTCCAAGATGGCTGCTCTGATTGGCAGGCAGCCTCAGTCCAAGGGGAAATCTGGGCACCCAGGCTCCTTCTAATCCCAGGGCCCTGCCATCTCCTAGGCCACATGGTCACAGCAGCAGGGGAAAGAGAGGTGGATGAGGCACATCTGCTTCTTACTGTCCTCAGCCCCCATTGCTTCTGCTCACACTCATTGGCCACCCTTGATGACAAAGGAGGTGGAAATGTAGTCCAGCTGGGTGCCCAAGAAGAGAAGGAGATGAGTTTGGTGACCAGCTACTCAGGCCTGAGATAGTAGGTCAGGGCTAAGCTTGGTCGGGAGCACCCAGGCTCTGCTGGAATTTCCCCCCACAGGACAGGAGAGGACCAGCCCCAGGGGGAAGTAAGTTGAAGGAGCCAAGCTTGATCCCAGTGCACTGGCTGACCGTTGGCAAGGTCAAGGGCTATGGAAACAGCCTCTAGCCAAGACCAATGGGAAACTTGTCCTGAGTGCCTCAGGAGAGCAGGCTGTGAAGAGTTAGCGACCAAAACCCCCTGGACTGCACCTACCACAACCTTTGTGGGCTGGAAGAGAGAGGAGCGTTGTGAACTTTAATTGGGCCGCCTAGATGGGGGAAGCCTCCCTTGGAAGGGACATTTGGGCAAAGACGCAAAGATGCTGAATCATAAGGACACCTGTAGGAGGGCAACGGGAGCAGCAAGTCCCAAAGTCCTGTGGTAGGAACAGGCCTGCGGTGTTGAGGACCCCACTGCAATAATCTAGGCCCGAGATGATGGTGGTGACACAGAGTGCGGGCAAGGGGAGAAGTGGTTAGATTCTTGATCTATTTTGTATGTTTATCCTTCCTTACCTCACTTCCTTCCTTTTTTAGTTTTCTCATGAAGACACACTGAGGTGTTTCCACATCTGTGCCCTCTTCTAGACTGTAAACCCTTTGAGGGCAAGGCCTGGGCCTGTCTTCTCTCCTCACCCTCACACCTGGCCCGGGGAGGGCCCCCTGGCAGCGCCTGGCAAACAAGTCTGTGGAGAGACTGCACGTCCTCCTGAGTCATCAGATTTCATGGGGCTGAGCTGAAGCCCTGCTTGTCAGCATATTGCTCACTGATGTGGAAAGCTTTCCTGTGGTCTAGACACTCCTGACTCCAGTCTAAAGAGACCTTCTAAAGAAGGTCAGTGTATCCAATGGAAGGAGATGGGGCTTTCCTCCCTCCTGAGCTCATAGGGCTACCTGCTGGGAAGACCGCTTCACAGGTTCTATTTGGTCCTGGATGTTCCCTCCTGCTGGTTTCCCAGGAAGTGACAGGATGCACAGAGGGCTGTGCCCAGCAGGGATCCTGGGCCCCAAGCAGCCTGGCCCTGTGCTTCCATTCTGCTGGGCTCTGCACCACTCGCTCACTGGATTGCAGGTGGGGTACCCAGCGGCTTTTGGGGGGGTGCCTCGAGCTTGGTCGTGGGGTGCTCTTTCCCCACTGCCCCACAGGCTTTGTTTAAGCTGGGCCCTTCTCTGCAACACCCCTGCCCCCTCCCCCACTGCGACTTGTACAGGAACCTGGCTACAACTGATGTTAATAACCCAGCAGGCTCTGGATTTGAGAGGGCTTCGAGAAGCCCTACAGCCTTAAATTCAGCGTGTTGCTGCAGGCTTCCGGCTTTCTCCAGAATCACATTCTGAGAGTCATGTGTTTCCTGTGCTCTCATGCCACAAATTAACTGCCTTTTCACTTTTCCCACAGGTTTCACCTCTCATCCTGTGTGGCAGGGGATCATGGTGTAGCGGTTACAAAACCTGTGAGCTCTGGAACCAGACAGACTCGAGTGGGCATCACAGCTCCTGCTCTTCCTAGCAAAGCCCTCTGAGCCTCAGTTTATTCATCTGTAAAATGAGCACAGTCACGGTATCTCCCCAGGAGCTCGGCTGTGAAGATTAACTGGGGTAGTGACCTAATGCCTAGACCCACGATATATGCAAGCTATAATCGTAACTCAAAGTGAGGCGGGGCTCAGGGCTGGCCAGCATCCCTGCCGGCTCCGAATCTTGCTCCTCTTTCCACCAGCCTCTTGGTCCAGTTCCACGTCAGGCCAGAGCAAACTGAGAAAGCCGTGCATGTCCTGGGCCTTTGGGGGAGTCTGTGAGTAGCTGAGCCCGTGAGTGATACCTCTCCAGGTGCCAGAACCCCACAGCCCCACCCTCGCCCTGCGCCCGAGCGCTGCCTGCCAGACCCTTGTCAGCGGTTACAACCAACAACTGCCTCCCGCTGCCCGAGTTTTATCAAAAGCTCAGTTGAGAGACGTAAAGTTCATGGGGGTTATTTAAAGGCCATGCATTCCATCCATTCTTCCAGATGAGACTTATCCCTGAAGCGAGTCCGGCTCTCAGGAAGCTGAGCTGCTCTTGGACCACATGATTTAGCCGCCACAAAATCTTTATTCCGTCCCTCCCTGATGATGGGGCTTTAAGGAAAAATGGCTGGAGGAGGCCGGCTGTCAAATTTATTTTGGGATGCTGCTATTGTTAGTGCTTGCTGCCCCAGGCAGTGCTCTCTGTAAGACCTAGAGGGAAATATATTTTAGGCTCCAGTTCCTGGCAAAGTGCCGCATCCTCAGAGGAATCAGTGGGCTTCTGACCTCTGGGCAACGGAACTCGTGAAACTGACCCCCATTCTCATTTTACTTGTGCTGCCGGGAAGCTCAGATTCGGGGCTCAGCTTGAAGAACACTCAAGGATCTCTTGACCTCTGACACACGGAGATGACTTCTTTCCAGATGCTGAGTTCTAACAGACAGGATTGTTAGGAGTTATTATTATTATTTTGTCTGTATCTCGTCAATTGCATCAGGGCTCCAGTGGGACTGGGGTGGGAGTTTCTATTCTGGAAAGCAACGGATGGAGAGCTGGCCGGGGTGGGTGGGAGAAGCACCAGGGAGGAGGACACGAAGGGGAGGAAATGGCACAAGGTTGCCGGCGGGGGGGTACGTGTCCCTTTCTAGGCCACCGTGGAGGTGAGGGAGGTCTGGCCTCCCTGAACCAGAGGGTTAGAAGAGAGATTTTTCCATGACTTTAAGAAGAGAACTGCAGCCCTTGCTCAATTTGAACTTCTCCCTGCGGCCCGCTCTGGCTTTCTGGGTATTTCTGTGATGTTGTGAAACACCGAAACTTGCAGTGTCTCCTTTCTCTTCCTCTTCCCCCCCCACCCCAGGCCCTGCCACCGTCTTTTCCCTTTCCCTTCCTCGTGCCCTCCAGCGACCACTGCCCTCCATCCCTCCAGTCCCTCCCGTCCCTCCGCGGGCCCTATTGTGGCTGTGCGGCAGGAGCAAACAGAGGAGGTGAGCGCTTCGGACCCCTGCAGGAAGGTGAGCACCAACTGAATCCTCTACTCCGAGCCACACATTTAGGAACCAACGTGACCGCCATTTATCTGGCGCTGGTGGCACATTTCCCACGCTGTCCTGGCCAGGCCCCCTCACCACCTGTTTGTCTGTCTACCCAGGGCAGGCTTCTCAGCCCCCGCACTAGTGATATCGGGGGGCCAGACACTTTTTTGCTGTGGGGCCCATCCTGTGCCTTGTAGGGTAGTTTGCAGCATCCTTGGCTTCTACCCGCTGGATGCCAGGAGGACCCGCC